CATATTTTCAGGTGACTTCAAATATGGAAGAAAGAAATGTAAGAATTAATTTCGCCTTTGGAAGGTCGTTCGATGTATACGTACGTATGAACACCTAAAAACAGAAACATTTAAAACTTTCAACACGTTCTTCTTCGATGCGAACATTTATCCTCAACCCAAGTATGCATAGAATTACGAAATTACTGATTTTAACTTATCAAATCCGATTATCAAACGGATTCGAATCGATTCATCTTGTTACGTTGAGTAGCCAGTGAGAGGTCAACAGTCAGCGCTGCAATTAAGGCGCGGTCATGCCGCAGGCGGGCCTCGGGATATGCGCTGGGTGGTGGCATACAGTATCTTACCGTATGCTACTCCAGAGTCCGCCACCCTAAAAGTTATAGTGCAATGAGAGAAGAAGATGACGTTATCATATGCATTTCAGCCCGTGCGACCGATGAGCATGCCTCCAGGAATGCCGGCTGGAGTGCAGCCAATGATGGGAATGATGCCACCACAACAACCATCACATGAATCTCGCAGTGCTACATCTTCGATTCCACCGTTGGTGACACCATCAGCTGGATATGGTCCATCGACTCATCCTCGAATGTACGGATTTCCACCAAACGCAATGGCCCCTCCATTTATGATGACCCCACATTTTGGTGTACCCCATATGATGCAGTCATCTCCAAGTCGAGGTTCGTTAAACTCTAGTTCGCTGCGGACGGTTGGGCGTGTCAGCCAGTATGAGTGTGTCACCCTTTCAAAGCCGTTCTCTGCCTTCTTGTTGAAACGCGCATGCGACAAAAAGTGGTAGAAAACGAGTATAGGAAGGATATGATACACTATTGTCACGTTCCCGCTTCAACAACTGGTGGAGAGCGAGTTTGGCACCGCGCCAAACGCAGCCGCACTGACACGCCCAACCGTCCGCAGCGAGCTACACTATTTGTTAAAGGCATATTGTACGGCCACCTGCGAGTAGATGCTTCCCTTGTGGGAACAGGTCCGCTGCGGAAGGTGCCTTCTTTCGCTGCCGCGGAATTAGTGGAAACGAAGCAGCAGGATAGGACAACTGGATGTTTTTTGTGGTTTCGCGCGCGCTACGCCATAGTCACGCAGACCCGCAACACGCCGCATGGTCGGCCGTAGGTCTAGTCAGGCTTTTGCACTACTTGCTTGCCTCCTCACACCTTTGAAAGGGGCATTGTTCTCTACAGCTCTTAACTGCATTCATAGGCAGTGTTTCAACACGGTCATCGCGAAATCTTGGTTTCTCCAGGTTCAGCTGTGAAGGTGTTGGCGCGCTGCTGAGGTATGCAGCCAAAGAGTTGTAAAGAACAATGTCGCCACAGTCAGACGTGAGATGGTGCAGACAAGAGACATGCATGGCCTGGCTAGACTTATGGTCAGTCACGCGACGTGTTGCGTGTCTGTGGCGTGAGGTGAGGGCAGAGTTGTAAGTCCAGACAGCCCTCATCCGCGGCTTTATTTCCACGCGTATCCAGCCAACAAAAGTGGCACGCATCGGCTGCGAACGTGTTCCTCGCCATTGGGAACGACTCACCCGCAGGTGGGCGTGTAGTTTGCCTTTGAGATCGTATTCAAAAGCACATGTTGCTGCGGTTCTAGGGCGCAACTCGCGTACAAGTTCAAATTTCCGTGGCAATCCGTCTTTCCAACCTAGGAGTAAGGTAGGCGGCTGCCGTCTTAATCGTTTTATTCATGTGAATTTCAGTAAGGTCTGTTCAGCAAAGCAACTCGCCTCAAAGCTTCTCACGGCAAAGCTCCGTTGCTGAGACACCTAAGGACGAAGCGAAAGCTGCGGAAATGATAGCTGCTGCCAGTGCTGAAGTGGAAAAGTTGTCAATGAAAGCAGTAGAAGCAAATCGACTCGATATCGAAGCTGTGCAGCAAGATCAAGAAGAAAAGAAGAGCGAGTCTGTGGTGGAGGAAGAGGAGAAAAAAGAAGAACAAACGGAGGCCCCATTAAGAGCTGAATCACCTTCCGAAGTGAAGTCGATTCCTGAGACCGACGTCACCAAGGGACTTCCTCCGACCACAGGTAACCCAAGTCCTGCTGAACACCATTATCCGTATACTGAAAGCACGTTCGCGAGAAAATCTCGTGTTTCAGTTGCTGAGATGAAAAATGATAAGCGTTCAGCCGTTCCGGTAGTTGCTGTGGCGCCCGTAATGTCTGTGAAGCCCGAGGTTGTACAGACAAAGGAAAAGGAGCTCAATGAGGACGAGCTACCAGAAAAAGAAAATCTGGAGCTACGCATCAAAGATGCTCCTCCAATGGCTTCTGTACAGCCCATGCCGGCCTCAGACACATCCTCAACTCCCATCAAGATGGACTGCACGTTCTGCCGTAATCTGGGCTTGTCTGAGGAAGTCGCTACCTCCCATGTGTGAGTATAACAACTTGGTCAGTCCTTTCTTGACTGAACTATTTCGAAAAATTTTCAGGA